TGCACAGGCACACACACACATAACCATATATATATATATATATATATATATATATATATATATATATATATATTTTATATTAGAGATATTTTTTTTAATTTTGTATTTGGGTTGTAATTGTTCTTTATATAATTTAAAATTTAATTTAATTTAAAACGACTGATAAGATATTTCTGTTTAGATTTGTTTTTCGTGCCTGCGAACAAGTGTTTGCTTTTTAAACCTAGTTGTGTGGAAATTCTGCAAATGATTGTCCGTTCGAAGAGGTTTCGACTAATCTATTGGCCATTTTCTGAAAATTACTAAAACTGAGGCATATATATATGACTAGCAGTAGAGCCCGGCGTTGCCCGGGGACGTAACAGTAAGAGATAGATCAAGTATCGACCATCATAAAGACTGAAAAATAAAATTGGCAAAGATTATTGTTTAAGGTTGACGGACACGCATGTCTTAATTAGTTTTTTTTTTTTTTTTTTTTTGTTTTTTTACGAATTGGTCAAACTCAAACAAAAACATTGTTTTCAATCGTTATGAGTTTACCGATTGAATAGAATTGTATTATAAACAATTGTCTTGTAAATGGAATTTTTAAAGCGTTCTGAATGTAAAAATAAAGAAAAAAGTGTGCAAGACAATAAGAAACACTACCTGCCAAAAAAAAGTGACGTTTTGTTGAAATCGGTTGAAAAATGTAGGAAATCCGATCCCATATATAAACGAACACACACACACACACACACACACACAAACAACCTGGGTTTTATAATAAGTATAACTCGATATGAGTTGTCCCCCTTTCATTCTCGCGACAGCGATGCCTCTTAATCGTGTTTTCAAATTGATTTCGTGCAGAAACAATTGTGTTTTTTGCAATTTTGGGCGCTGTCAGGACCACCGCAAGGTCATTTTACGCAGTCCTGTGAAGTTTTGTTGAAATTGGTTGAAAACTGTAGGAAATCCGATCGAATATATAAACGAACAGACACACACAACCTGGGTTTTATAATAAGTATGATTACCGTAGAAGAGCGTGTCCATAGTTGAAACACTTTGGAACGGGCTAATAGAATAATCGAATTACACTTGGAACAGACAATCATTTGGATCATTTTAAAAACGGAAAAACGCAAAGGACAGATACTAATAAAAACTAAGTAACTTGTCAGTCATTTTTATTGAAATATGTATTATATATGTGTTTTTCCTTTTTTAATGATGTTGTTGTTGTTGTCGTTGTTGTTTTTTTTGTTTTGTTTTGTTTGTTTTTTTATCCTGTGACTCGTAGGGTTGTAAAGGCACCAGCCGCAGTAAAAGTTATATTTCTTGGGCAAGATAGCCTGACAGAGCCCAAAAGGGTTTTCCTTCTCCTAAACCGGTTGCCACATTCACCAATAGCTGGGAGGAGAAGAAGAGGATCCATACCTTTTCCAAGCTCGTAAGTGAATGAAATGGATCTGACTGTATCTCGAACCTGGATCTCCACATCTTCATTCCGAGCCACTGTCTATTACTCCAATGTGTCCTTGCCGTATTTTACATTAAAATATTCGTTATAACGCGTTATAATATATTCTAATGTGGTTTTAAAATATTTATTGTTATTTTTTTATTTTTTAAAATAATTCTTGGATTTCAAAGCCAAGTTTCACGGCACTGTAGCATAAAACATTGAAAATAAATAAGTTTGAATTTTCTATAAAAAATATTGTTTTATTGAATTTTAATATACATGGTAAGCTTTGATAATTTTCCGGATGTTGTTTTTAGTTTGTGTAAACACGAACATCTGTTTATAAGAAAGGCATGTGTGAGTCGCATGTAAAATCCTTATGAAATATGCGCAAGTTTTTGACGGCTATTGTATCAGAAAAACATTATTCTGTATAAAAATCTCTCAAAAGAACATTAAACTTTAATATACGTTAACTCTAAGCAGAGATAAATTCTAAGATACATAAATCTTCTAAGAGGAATTATTGGCAATATTCTGCGATATTGTGCAGATTAATATCTTCATATATATATATATATATATATATATATATATATATATATATATATAAAGAAAAGAGAGAGAAGGGGAGGGAGGGAGAGAGAAATTTCGTTTGGTGTCTTCTGCAGGTCTCTTCAGGCGTAAAGAACATCTGTTGAATTGTTTCGCGACTTCTTTGTTATACAAATCACATTAATGTAGATTTCTCAGCATCTTTGTTAAGAAATGGATACATATTTTCTAACTTTATCCGGATAATTGTGACTTTTTTTTTGTAGCTTTTACAAGACTGATATGGCCGCTATGTTTTCACGTCTTTGTTGGATGTATTTTCCGATAACCTATTAAAGATAGATAGGAGACTATGATAGATAGATAGATAGATAGATAGATAGATAGATAGATAGATAGATAGATAGATAGATAAGAGGACTAAGATAGATAGATAGATAGATAGATAGATAGATAGATAGATAGATAGATAGATAGATAATGAAAAGACTCTGATAGATAGATAGATAGATAGATAGATAGATAGATAGATAGATAGATAATGAAAAGACTCTGATAGATAGATAGATAGATAGATAGATAGATAGATAGATAGTTAATGAGAAGACTATGATAGATATATATATATAAATACATAATGAAGACTATGATAGATAGATAGATAGATAGATAATGAAGACTATGATAGATAGATAGATAGATAGATAGATAGATAGATAGATAGATTTGAAAAACTTATGCAATTTACAGAAGAGAACTTTACATCGTTTTGCTCTTTTTCTATCCATTTATTTCTCGCGCATTTTTCTCTTCATCTTTTCTTTCTTTCTTTCTTTCTTTCTTTCTTTCTTTCTTTCTTTCTCACCTTTTCCAACTATCTGCCTCTCTTTATCCTCTGTCCATTGTTTTTATTTTATTTCGAACTCTGTCTCTTTTTGTCTCCTTACTCATAATCTCGTTCGTTCGATAGTTTAGCTTACGAAACTCAACATACGAATAAAACTAAAATCGACAACTTCCACTCAACCTCTTCTCTTTTCAATTTTTCAGTTTCTTCTTTATGGAGATTTAATGCGTATTTTTATTTGTTTTATTTCTCAACTTTTCACAAAAGGAACCGAACCGCAAACAAACCGCCCTCTATTTAATATTCCACAATAAATTGCTGACAAAACATGGTTATCTGCCCCTAACCACAAGCGACTTCACGTTTCCTCTCATTTTTTTTTCTTCTTCCGCTTTGATGGGCCGACGCCATAATCCCAACACGCATTGTATTATACGTTTGTTTTTCTTTCTTTCTGCTTTTTGCTTCTATTTTTTTTTAAAATCCCTCAACGCATTCATCTTCGTTTTGCACCATTTCAGTCTCGCAAAGACGCATCGAGGGCATCTTTTTCTCTTTGTATTTTTCCTCTCATTGGTTCCCTTACTCTCTCTTACTCTCTCTTTCACTCATTCGTTTCTGTAATTATTTTAACCAGGTACCTCTCGCTTTGAGAACAAGAGAGTAGCCCCAAATTATCCGCGCTTTGGCTTTCCAATTTCAGATATACACTGTCAACTATAGAATTATATAGTGTTTTTATGATTAACAAAAAGTTAAAAGTTTTATTTTGTAATGGCCCCAAAATGAAAAATGAGATTGGTAATTCAGATACGATAAAATATATCGTGATTACTTTAAGTCAAAAGATCAAAGACCATAACTTAGAAAAGGTAAAAAACAAATCAAATAATTTATGGAGGTAACTAAATACAAATCTTCTATGAGCCACAAAATTATTATATATTGTTCTAATTTTTCTATTTTTTCAAATATGCTTTTGAGTTCTCGCCATATTCTTTTCTTAAATAAAGGATTCACTAGATTCGTCTAGCGTAGCGGCTATCGGCGCAGAAAGTAAAACCAACGTACCCAATTCAAATTTCAACCGACTTCTTTTCGTTCACTTCCCTTAAGAAAGATATACATATATATTTCTCCACCCCCACCAAATGCTATGAGTTAAATAGCCGTGCAGACTGGGCTCTCTAGCCTTGTTTGTCAGTCAGTCAATGAGAAGAAAAGTTCTAAATTAAAAAACCAGCTGAGTGTGAAGCTGGCAACTCCAAACCGTAAAAACCTGTTTGCTACAGAAACCAGAAAAGCAGCACCTAATCTTGAATGTATGAACCTATGCTCCATGGAAAAGATTAAGGATGATGAAAGACTGGATGCGCAGTTGAAAATAAGCACAAGATAGATAGATAGATAGATAGATAGATAGATAGATAGATAGATAATGAGAAGACTATGATAGATAGATAGATAGATAGATAGATAGATAGATAGATAGATAATGAGAAAACTATGATAGATAATGAGAAAGATAGATATAGATAGATAGATAGATAGATAGATAGATAGATAATGAGAAGATAGATAGATAGATAGATAGATAGATGATAGATAGATAGATAGATAATGAGAAGACTATGATAGATAGATAGATATATAGATAGATAGATAGATAGATAGATAGATAGATAGATAGATAGATAATGAGAAGACTATGATAGATAGATAGATAGATAGATAGATAGATAGATAGATAGATAGATAGATAGATAATAGATAGATAGATAGATAATGAGATAGATAGATAGATAGATAGATAGATAGATAGATAGATAGATAGATAGATATAAAAAAATGTTGCCTCCCATGTCTTCTTCTTTTGTAATGAGATTGGCCAGCATTCATTGTCATATAGGGGAACAGTTGAGCACCCTTTTCTTTGTTTCCTACGAAATGTTCCTGTTTCTTAATACTTTGCTTAGCTTTTGAAAGGAATAAATATGTCTGGAACAATTAGCGCGCAATTCAAATCTCTTTATACAACCACTGGGCCAATATTTATAATAATTTTCTTTGTATTTGCAGACAATAAATCATGTTTTTCTTTATACAGTCGTAAATCCACTAAGAGTAGGCTTACCGCCACATCACGAAACACCGGTTTCCGTACGATATCCCGAAGTTAAGCAACGTGGATCCTGCTTAGTATTTAGATGGGTGACCGCTTGGGAATACCAGGTACTATAAGTGTGAGTGGCCTAATGGTTAATGTCTCGGTATTGTTAACAGGATATCCCACCCGATGGCATTCTTATATTCACGAATACTCTTGTGAAATATATAAATCCGTCTCTTTTCCCGCGAGCTATGGATTAAATAGTATGACTTATATCACTAGACCATCATGATCTACCCCACCAAAAAAAGATTATTACAATTTACAATTATTTTCTAACTTTAAATAGCCTACAACGTGTTGATAAGCCGTAGAACGCGAATCGGTCTGCGATTTGCCAGAAAATGTAACGGAAACAAGACACTAAAATTGAAAAAAATATAATTTTACTTTCTAATATTATTTTATTTACTTAAGGTTTACTCTCAATAATATCTTTCTGTTGACTGAATAATCCATTGGAACACTGACTTAAGGAGTAATTCAATTCTTTTTTTCCAATCTTTGCCAAGTTACATCAAGGCCGCGCAACCATTTCTCAAGATATCAAAATAGCTGGACAATTTCCCGACAGACATATCTCTTTCGGTATTAATATAACTTGTTTGCCTTCAATTTTAATTTCCTATTTAGGAAGCTTTGAAGTCGGCATTGACATATTTTCTTATCTTTCCAATGTCTGTTTGCTCCACTCCCCCACCCGTGTCCTCCTAACTGTCTACACCAGGGATTGAACTCACGACATCCAGGATCTGATTTTTTATTTTTGTTCCGTCAGACATGACTTCTAAATGTTCTGCTTTTATTTCTCTTTTATCATTTGCGTCTATCTTAATCACATTCAGAAAAACTCTTTCCGTCTTCCACGCGAATCGATATCACAGCGCAGACATTAAACCAAGTCAAATGAATTCCCAGCTTTCTTATCGTCTGTTTGTATCAATCCAGCCTCGCTCCAGTTTATTCCCACAATTCAAAGCAATCTACTTTTTACAGAAGACCGATCAAGAGTAGTCAGAAATTCATATTATCCCATTATGTATTTAAATGTTTGGTTACCTTACAGAGTCCTTATATATATATATATATATATATATATATATATATATATATATATATATATATATATATATATCATAAATAAATGGGCGTTGCCCAAATCTTCTTCAATTTACACATGACAGATTCTACTGGGTTACATGGCAACAGTAACATATATTAATCTGTAATATTAAATATAGAAAGGAGTAGATTCATGTATTTTCTATTTGCTCACATGACAATGGAGAAATTAAATAAAGGAAGATAATAATCAAAACCTGGACGAATTGACGTATTGCTTACCTCTCTAAATTATTTATTGCATTTGAATGAATCAGCAAAAATGACAATAACATGCAATATGACACAATTGAATTGCTGTATGAATATGGCCAAAAATGGCATCTTATATATAAAGTACAGTGTATGTGTGTTTGTGCGTGTGTGTGTCCAAACAACTACTCCGCTCCCACTGGTCCGATTTCAATGATTCATAGCTAAGAGCCGAGAAAAGTTAAACGCAGGGAACAATTTTTCGTTGAGCTCAGAAACAGGGTTGTCAGATTATGCGAGGCTAAACCTATATGTTAATATATTATACTAGCCATTATTGTTGTTTTCATGGTTCAAGGGGGGTAACTCTTATTTTCCTTTTGTATCCAAAATTGCAGTACACGTTTTATTATAAAATCGGGCGGCATTTAAGCTATCTCTTGTGGAGGACTCTTCATTTGGCCATCATCACAATAATTAGGGAGGAGTAGATACAATAGGCAACAATAAACTACAGAAGAACTCAAAATTGATCGCTGCATTTAAGTATTGAATGTTTAAGCTTACCCTTTGAAAGTTCAACGATAATTCTTCTGCTGCCACTTAATTTAAAGACAATTTGATGCTTGTAGATCTTTTATTTCATTGGCGACAGAACAGGGCACAATTTATGAGATAAAATTAATATAGTGTAAAGATGTGAAAAAAGAAATTAGAATTCGTTATACATTCAACATTTGAATAGTTAGAGAAAATAATAACTAATTAAGTAAGACTTACATTATGGAGTCTTTATGAATAAATGCGAAATTGGAGCTCAATTCACCCACGAATTCTGAGATTAAAACGCTGCAGCTCTATAGTAATATGAACACTAAAATCTCAATATACATTCTAGGCAATATCACTCTTCAGGGTTAACTAATCTTCACATTGAATTTTAAAAACTTTCTTTCATTAATTAACTGTCTTTCATTACTGTTCTTTTATTCGATGATTGTTTTGATTTTCATATCAGAAATAGTTCTGTTTAGGAATATCGTCTTAGATAATAGTGCAGAAAAATTTGCATTTTATATAGCCTTCAACAAGTTGGCATCTATTTGTAAAACTTTCCTTAGCTATAACAAGCCAATTTCTGAATAAAATGTTCATTTAAAATTTTTGTTTCAAACATTTCAAGTAGTGAATATATCTTACTTTGAGAAGGGATAGCAAGCGGGCGAAGCCTGCTAGTATTCAAATAAATATGGTCGGAAAACGGTTAACTGATCCGAAAAAAAGCATTAAGGAATTGTAGGAGTGTCCAATGAAGATGGTTCTCAGTGCTCTACTTTGTTGCTTGTTAGGCTCTCTATATGTACAGCGGTCAGGTTACATCATTAGTTATCGATTTGGATGATTGATTGATTTGGTTTTTTTAAGTCTTATCAACCTATTACAGGTTAGAAAATATTTTTAGACTGTGAAAATATTTTGGGGATAATAATGATTTTACTGAACCCGACTGAAATTGAAATTGGTTTGTTTTTTTGTTTTTTTTTTTTTACGGCATATCAGCCTCAATGAGTTATTTAATGCCGACAAGATTTTTATTGCTGGTAATATTTTTTTCCAAAAATATATTGCTGGTATTAATTTTTTTTAAGTATTTCTGGTATTAAAACCTATTTTTACACTTTCATTGTATTTTTACCCCATTTTGGGGGATAACTATTTGCCCATAGCTGGGACCCAAACAGGTGCTACCACCCCAGGTAAGGGTAAACCTGGTAACACCAGCAATTAAGAGGTGATTCCACTCTCCTCAAAGCCTCCTGATCAGAAGTCTTGCCGTTGGACGTAGTTTATCGTCTTACCCAGGACGCGGATGTAGTCTATCGTCTTACCCTTCACGCGGATGTAGTTTATCGTCTTACTCAGGGCGGACTGAAATTGAAAATCAGCTCTCCGATTCCAAATCCCGAGTCGTTATCTATTACACCACCCACACATACAAACTTGCAGTACCTAATATTCCCAAGCAGTCACCCATCTAGGTCCTGACCACGCTCAATTTTGCTTAACTTCGGTTATCATACGAGAACGAGTGTTTCAACCTGACATGGCAGTAAGTTTTATCAGTCAAGTGGGATCAGTATTACATACGGAAATCATGTGTTACAGTCCAAATAAATATATAATTTTGTTAAAATACCAATAGTTCTGTCCTTGTCTGTCGCGTTCACTTTCGTGATGATGCATATCGAAAATGAATAAATCCATCACTTATCTGCCGCCCCGGTTTTAGGTTAAATAGCAGGGTAGCTGCCAGGATCCGTAGCCTTGGATGAAACCCAAATCAGAAGCAGGACAACTCTATATTCCAAACCATAACTAAGTCAACGGAATACATTCGATTATTTTCTGAAGAAGCCATGACAATTCACAGATAATAAAAAATAATTTATAAAGTTCCTTGTCCGCCTAAATCTTGAAAGGACATGGAATTATACATTGGTTCCCGAGAGGTTAACCCACCCAGAGAATAGAACCTTCCTCATAGACACACAACGACACGTGTTGAAGGTAACTTGAGTCAACTAAGTGACACACATATATTCACATTAATCCAATATATATATATATATATATATATATATGTTCACTTAAGCGCAAATACCCTTGATTCCGTCACTTCTTTTCCTGATTATGGGTAAATAGCTATGGGTGGGGACCTGAATTCAAAACCTGCGGAGGGTCGTTTGGGGACCTTGTCACATACGATGCACCAATTCCTTATATTTGGCACTTCCAAAAAGTATGGTTGGTTCTGCACATGCCTTCATCACTATAATCAAATATGTATCGGTAGTTTGGCTGTTTGGCTATGAACTGGGCTGACTCACATACGTCGAAAAGGCGGGAGAGTCTACTTATATATATATATATATATATATATATATAAAATTATATAAAAGTTGCATTTAAAAAAAGAATGTTTTTTATGAAAGTTTATTTATTTATATATATATTTGATATTTCAGATTGACCTCAATCTTTCTTCAAAATATTTCTGAAGAAAGATTGAGGTCAATCTGAAATATCAAATATATATATAAATAAATAAATACTTTTATATAAAAACATTATTATTTTTTTAATTTGCAACTTTTTCTATATATACATATTAAGAAAGTATACGTGGCTTCTCATTATGCTATATATATATATATATATATATATATATATATATATATATATATATATATATATATATAGTACAGGTAATAAATCCGTTGGTATATAATCCAAGTGGATCCTAGTAATATTAAAACTAATCCAGAAAAAAGCCCAATGTATTTATTATAAATTACACAACAAAATCCCAAATTATCTCATATGGGGATAGATCTATTTCAGCCTAGATGAAGTGCCTCAGTCGTATTCAACTCCGGACTGTATTCGTGTTGGAATGAGGGATTTAAATTTTACTTTGACAGCAATTGAAACCGCCCTTCCTTTACCACCAACTATGGCATTTTGTCTGGCTGCGGAGTTGAAAACTGTTAGGTTCTGTATCAGATTTTCGACTGGAAAACTTAAATCTCAAATTCCGACACGAATACAGTACATACACCGGGGTTGAATAAGTCTGACGTACTTCGCGTTGGTTGAAATAAAAACTATCCACATGTGAGATAATTTTGTTTTTCTTGTGTAATATATATATATATATATATATATATATATATATATATATATATATATATATAGTGCAACCTCGGTTCTCGAACGTCTCACATGTTGAACAAATCGGTTTTTACGAACAGAAAATTCGAGATGAAAATGCCTCGGTTATTGAGCAGAATTTCGATTTTTGAACAACATTGCCGAACGAAGTTAACAGGAACAGAATAATTTCTGAGTCGACCGCCATGTTGTATACATTCGCGCATTGTGGCGTGCTTTTCTTTTCCAATTTTATCGTACTGTAAATTTTTTTTTTCTATACATTCATTCCTATTGGTAAAATAATTTCGATTTACTTTGCTGTCAAAGTAAAATTTATATCTCTAATTCCGGCACGAATATAGTCCATACACTGGAGTTGAATAAGACGGACGTACTTCGCGTTTTTGAAATAGATCTATCGCCATGTGTGGTAATTGGGGGTTTGGTTGTGTAATAATATATATATATATATATATATATATATATATATATATATATATATATGGAATTTAGAATAATCACTAGAGAGCCCGGAATAAAACGAGAACGCTGAATAGCACAGAAAAGACCTAATTATTGTCCATGTAAGAGACACGCGGCCCTAGCTTTATAAGCAACAGATTCTTTTTCTATTGCCATGTTACCCAGGCAACACAAAACAACGCTGCACCTTCAATACAAGTCTGATCAGCGGTATTAAGTTGCAGCAACCCCAAGAGAAATTAATACCATTTTAAGAAGCTAGCCGAAGGTGACTTTTCCTTTAACAACACAACTGAGAATATACCCTGACGGTTTTCTCCTAAATTAACTGCAAAGACACACACTGTCTGCAACCACTTCTTTTTTGCTATTTTTCTTTTTATGTTCAGATTTTAATTTTAAATGTATTTAAAAAAAAAATCACCCAGTTCGTTTGAACGACCGGTCTTAGCACTAAACGCCCATAAACATATATCCTAGCGTATTTTCGTGGAACTAATATATATATATATATATATATATATATATATATATATATATATATATATATATATATATATATACCTGTTGCGACTAAATTTTCTAAATCGTGTAATAGCAAAATTCTCCATTTGTTCAATTAAGCTTTGAACCGTTGTATCTTAGAAATGATTAAAGATATCTTACTAGAATACTCCGAGGTTTTTTATAACACTAATAGACTCTACTGTGAGCAATTACTCTCTAAGCTTAACAGAAGAATCATGATGAATTCGATCATAAACGAAAATGACGTTCATCATTAATTAATCATAGCAAAGGATCGGAAGCTCATGAAGGATTAAAATATATATGTATATTGTTCCGGGATCATTTTCCGAATTATTCAAGATGACCTCTCCAACCTTCTAATATTCTGTCCTGGAGTAACAAGGTGTTTAACGTACGATTTCATTTTCAAGTCTTTTTTCACTGCTCTTTGGACTGTCATAACTGAAACTCCTCTCTTACGTAACAAACGTCTTATGAATTGAGTTGGATCTTTTCTAATTGATCTCTTTAGCTCTAAGTTGAAATGATGATCCCTCTTCCTGTTGTGATCTGATCCAGTTTTCCTTTCTACTGTTCACTCTTTTTCAAACATTCACTATTCTGGATGGTTTTTGAATGGTCTTTGAAGACAGAAGCCAAAGTATGAATGTTGGTACTATTACTGAAGGCCTGAATGATCATTTTCCTCTCACCATTGCTCAGTTGGGAAGCTTTTAGCCTCTTCTCTTTCTATCTGAAGAGCGCAAAGGGGTTTTCAGTGATTCTTACAATAAATGATATCAAGATGGCTAACTGTCTTATCTAAAAACCTGGAAAATAGAAATTCAATTAGTGGGAAGGACAATTATACTGTTACAAGATTTTGACAATTTTGCTGTTACTCCGGGTATATATATATATATATATATATATATATATATATATATATATATATATATCAAGAAAAAAATTTTGAAAGAAAAGATGGATGTCAAATTGGAAAATGTTTTTTGTGACGCGTTACATCCGATGAAGGGATGAAATGCGTCACAAAACCTTTTACAGTTTGGCATACAACTTTATATATATATATATATATATATATATATATATATATATATATATATTTATAAAAGGGAGGATGTGTGTGTAACGAATGCATGGCCGCAATTTTCGACGGATTTGCACCAAAATTTACATGCACCTGCTCCAAGTTAGCGGGAAGGCTAAGACCGACGTTGCATTTCCCAACTCCCATCGATAGTGGAAATAATCGATTTTTCATGCTTCTACGGCACTTTTCATGTAGTCTGCAGCCATTTTCTACTGGTCAGCGTGACAGCCAACAGCTGACTGACACGAATGTTAACTAGTAGGCTAGCATGCAAAAAAATATCGATAGCTGCATTCGTCACATGTGGGAAAAATGTAAATCTGCATGGCACTTTACTCCAATTGGCTCATTCGCTTGCTTAAACTCAACGTTGATTCTGATTCCGCAGAACTGAGTTGAGTGTGAAAAAGTATTTGTTGCTAACTTTCTTTTTTCATTCGGTTTTTCCAGTTACGAGTCCTTTTTTAAAGCTGATCGTTTTGTGTTCATTTTGTTTAGTTCTTTTTTCGTGACAGATTTAATGTTTAGTATAGAGCTTAGAAAAAATTCGCAGTGTGAGATAGACAAGAAGTAAGGCATGTAGCAACATCAGCACGGCAACGGGCACTTCTTTAAAGGCAAGGAAGGGCAAAAATATTTTAAGTCAAGTGATAGCGATTGCTTTATAAGTCGTACGATTTTTGAATCAAGCCATGCTGCTAGTATATATATATATATATGTGTGTGTGTGTGTGTGTGTGTATTTGTGTATTCTTTTTATAGTGTTTTATAGTTTTATAGTGTTTGTGTGTATATATAATACACACAAACACTATAAAAAGAATACCCGCTCGGCCCGGTGGCTAGGATCAAAGTGTAGTATCTGCGCTTTGTGAGCTGCCGGGTCGGGTGTCTGTCGAAATCTCTGCTTGCAGAGAGGAACCCGGACGAAGCTCTGCCGAAGGGTAGGGTTTCGTTGGGGGAAGTTGACGGAACTGGCCCGCCTCGGCGGGTTTGGATGGTTATTTATTTTTGGCTGGGCCTACGGGCTCAGAGATACCCACGTTAAAGGGCCTTGTGCCACATTCGATCCCCGTGGGTGGATTGATAAATACCATATATATATATATATATATATATATATATATATAAAACATCTGATGACTCAAACAAGTAAAGGAACCATATATAACAGGAATATCAACAAGTTTTGCAAACAGATAAGCAAAAATCTTCCCAAATTACGTTTAATTCAAAACTATAAAATGCAGTTACTACAAGCAGATTTCAAGTCTGTTTGAGAGAGACTT